ATCTGGCACCATGAAATTTACTGTCTTAAATGCATTCATTTAAGATTAGTGCCCACAAGTACCATCTGACTTCATTAAATATGCTAAAGTTTAGCTTTTACCTCCTACGGCTTCCTTACTTATAACTCGCAGATTACCTTTCTCCCAGTTTGGAAAAAAAAAAAAAAAAAGAGCAATGAACATCTCTCACAGAGCGCAGTTCTCACAGACATAAAACTCGATGAAAGGAAAATGGGTGTTCCTCACCCCAGGGCCTCTTTTAATGGCCTAACCCTGTTTAAATATGTACTCATCAGAATTGCAGACCAACTCTTACCTAAATTTTTCTTTGCCATGGTAATGGAATAAAACAAAACGAGAACTCCAGTTGATGTAACTTATTCAAATCATCAAACAAAGCCAAAGTTTTAAGCTAATGATATTCCTCTGTTCCCCATTAACTTTCAGTGAACCTCACTTACAAGAAATTGACAGGCTTAGATTTAGGACCGTTTTATTTCCCAGGCTCTCCCTCTGGCGGAGGCAGGAAAAAAAGAGGGCATCGCAGAGAAAAAGAGAATCACAAACAAGCGTATGGTACTTTGCAACTCACATAATCCTCAACAAACGATCATTATTATAAAGCAGATGGAGGAGGAAGCAGTTCTACATTTTCAACACCCGGACTCTGGTTCCAGAATCTAGCGCTGCCTGCCAAGAGCAATGGCATTTGCGCAAATTATTAAATCACCCACAACGTTCTGCCTTGAGCCGGAGGCGAGACTTCATCCCCAACCCCAACCATGACACCCAGGGCGGTGCGAGCACCAGGGCCAGCGCGTTTTGAGAAAGCGAGGCCCGCAAAGGGTGAGGCGAGCCCATAAGGATAACTCCAAGTTTCCCAAGCGGGGACCCGAACACAAAGTCCCAGCCCTAGCGCAAGCTGCAGAGCCGCTGCTCCCCAGGCTCCCCGGAAAAGGAGAGACCCTGCACCGCGGAGCGGGACTGATTTCCTGCAGCCAATCAATCCACCCTGCACACACCCGAGCCCGCCGCCCTCACCCCGCAGAGCCCCCAGACCCCACTTCCACGGTCCCGCTAAGTCCCTCCGCTCCGCTCAAGAGGAGACCAGCCACCGCCCCTCTCTGACCTGGCCCCGTGGGGTGCGAGTCGGCAGCGCGACGCCTCCATGCCCGCGGCTCGGAAGGTGGCAATCCAGCCAGACCCCGGGACGCCGCTGCTAGGGTGGCAAGCCTGGCGGGCGGCCGGGCCCCGCCCCCTAGCAACCGCACCCCGCACTGTTGCCGGCAGCTATTGGCCCCCGCGCGCGCCGCTGCCCTGCCATTGGCTGTGGCCGCCGCCCGGCGTTGCAGGAGAGTTGCCAAGGGGCGGGGGCTCAGGGACTGGAAGGCGCCTGCGCGGGGGCCGGGGCTGACGCGCCGGCGTTCGGTCCTGCGGGCGCTGAGCCTGGAAGGGGCGGAGGGCGGAAGGACGAGTTGGCTCCGCAGCGATGCCCATCCCCCCACTAACTGTCACATGGGGAGCGGCCCACGCCGCCCCGCCGTTTGCACCTAGAGACCACCCGGAGAGCTTCCAGCTTCTGCGAAGTTGGGACCCCAGACCTCCGCCCGCACTGCTTCCTCCGACCCCTCCGACTGCAGGCCTTTCTCAACCACAATGCACACGCTCGGGCAGCCATTCCTAGTCCGAGGCATCTATGGGAGTCAGCTAGGCCCACATATGGGCCACATATGGGCCACGCAAAACTCCTGCCCCACTCCAGCCGAAGCTTTTAGACCACTCCTAGGCTGCTCTCGGGCTCTGTCTTTTCCATCTGTCTGCAGCCTGTAGATCTTCAAGCATCCACATCCCGTACTGAGAACTTTTAATGACTACTCTTAGCCGATAAGTTACTCGTTTTCTCTCTAATCAACTTATATAGAGCGTGTGGTCCCCGCAGCATCCTGACAAGTTACTCCACGTTGACCAGTTTCCAGCACCTGGAGGTGAACGTTGTTTCCACGTTGCTTTGAGTTTCTAAAATGGCATAGAACTTGGCTACGGCGAGCCAAGCACCTCCTAGCCAGCCTCTACTTACCTTGTGACCCTGAGCTTGGCTCAGTAGCTACCCTTCAGATTTCCACTTGTAAAATAAACAGCGTAATCAATCCCTGCTTGTCCAGCTCAGGCTGGACCCCTGACACCCCAGATGCTCTTTGTACGGGTGAAAGGGTGGCTGGGACACTCCCTTGACTGGGCATTCCTGCATTAATTACACTAAGAAGTAACATTTTTTGAAAACTATCCACATTTGCACACACTTTTAGACATTTACTGTAAGAAATCATGTTTCCGCCATAGTTAATATTTTGACTAGCTCCTTTGGTTGGAGACAAAAAAAATAAAAACCAGCAAACCTAAGTAATGTATCTCCCCATCCAGATGTATTCACTAACCCATGGCTAGCTGCCCTTGCTTCATGGAGCCCTTCAGCAGATAACCCCAGGCGGCAGTGATGGCAGCTTGGCTGTAAAGTCAGTGTCTCTGATTTTTTTCTGTCCATCAGGGCACAGAGGAAGCTGCCACTGAACAGGTACTGGAAATTGTACCAATGAATTAGTCCGTATGAGGGTGCTGAGGGATTGAGGCCAGGGGAAGTAAAAAAGCTTGTGTAGACTAACAGAAGGTTTCTCTAAAAACTTTCTGAAAACATTTATTTACATACATTTTAAACATTTACTAGAAGATACTTTAAAAATTTAAACTGTTAATATTAGAAAGATATAAAGTAAACTGTTTATGACACTAAAAACTGTTTATAATACAAGATATTTTAAAAAGCAAATCTGGGAATTTAATTCCCTGTAACTCCAAGGTGCTAGTTAAAATATCTTTTTTTCTAATGATGTTATTAGTGTTATTTTCATTTTATTCTATTGATGTATTCTCTTGTGAGCCACAAAAGTGACATAGCAACCTCATGAAAACCAGCAATCAATTCCTTGAGACTACTGATAAGGAGGCTAATGTCTGAAAAATCCAGTCAGCTTTTCACAAGGAACTGGCTTTTACTCAGCTTCCCTGTCTCCTGGAGATAAGTTAACAGGTGCCGTCGTCTCCTCCACGTGACCTTTATCCCATACTTGTCCTCTGGTGTGTCTTCAGCCAGAACAGGCACAGGCTGTGGGCTCTTGGGGGTACTAGAGTAAAGGGAGCCACTTGGAAGGACGGTTTCCCTCAGGTCTGGGGGAGTAGGCCCTTCCTTCACAGATGACTCTGGGGTCTGGATATCAGGTGGGATGAACACATAAGACAAGCTTTGAAGCATCTGTTCCCCACAGCTTTGGGGACTGAGCATTGGAACCAGGGGCCTTCCAGAAACGTCCTGTTCTGGTTGAGCAGGGCACTTCCTGATCAAAGGGATCTCAGCTGTGGATGAACTGGAAGAAGTCTGTGGTGTCTCAAAGGTTAGATGGGGAAACTTGGAGGTGGTAGATTTTCGACTTGAATGTCTTGTTTGGTCTCGGCGAAGAGATTTCCGGTGGGTTGGGAACCAGCTTTCTGCTGTTGTATCAAATTGAGGCGATACCTAAAAGGTGAGAAGAGCCGAGCATGAGAAAGGAAACGCTATCCAGTGACCAGAACCCAGAGTGAAGATCCACTCAAGGAGCGCACATAAAACACACAAATAGTCACCTAATGGGATGTTGACAGAGCATGAGCTTTGCACAGTTACTCTTTCACACTAACCCCCACACCTAGCAGAGTGCCCAGCACAATGATGGCCCCCGGTAAATAAGGAATGACTGACTGCAAAAGTAGGGAGTAAGACCAGGCAAGAAAAACTAGCCTAGGGCCTGGGCCATGATGAGTTCTCAATGAATGTTCATTCTTCTTTATCACCACATTAAACATTCCTCACCAGTCCAAAGGCAGGTAGGAAGGCTCCTCACAAGCAACTCTGCACAAGTCGCATTTATTAAGCACTTTTAAGCCAGGTATGCTTCTGCCTGGCCCTTTTGCTATCTACTTTCCTGACACATAAAAGCTATTTTCTCTTCCCAGTGCTTTTAAACAGTCAATATATGACACATGCTGTTTCTGTACGGTGTTTTTCAAGGTTCACTCCATTAAATGGTAAAGGGAATAAATACCTCACTATAAACTCCACCTCCCAACTGACGCTCAGGGAACAATATTTTTTTTTACTTATTCTGCCCTCTGTCTGGCATTCTTACCCACCCACAGAGCCATGAAAGTTTCATACCAAATTATTTCGGAGGAATGTTTAATGATTCGGTTGAACTTAGATCATATACCAAAAAGAAAAAAAGGAAACAAACAAAAAACAAAAAATACCAGAGAAGATGGCTGACAACAAAGTGCACTGCTTCCTGTCCCTCACCCCATGAATCTTCCTACTGTTTAGAGGCCCTGGGTGTGGGGCAGAAGAGGCAGTGTGAGTAGCCTGCAGGAGTAGAAGTAGAAGAATGCCACGGCCTGCCTACCCAGGAGGTGATGGTGCTGTGGTCAATGGGCTTGCTGGGCACCTGTCTGGTGTGGGTGGTAGGCCGCTGCGGATCTCTAGAGTGGTGTTTGGGGCCCTCCAGTGGTGGCTGGTGGAATAGCAGCTGGGCTTTCTGGGCGCTTGGACATCTTTTTTTTCTGGGAGGCATCAATAATTAGAAGCCACATGATGCTGGAGGTAGTCAGACTGAGGGCGATGCTCCAGTTCCAACCCATGCCTGAAGAAAAGACAAAATCTGGGATCAAATAATCCCACAACGTTCCCACCCTTTCTTAAACTGGGTCACATTCTGTAACTACTCCCTCTGTCCGCAAGGTAATGGAGAGCACAGCTTGTTACACCAACACCATGGAGTAAAAACACACTGGTTCACACTCAACAATGTTCCTTCAGTGAACATTTATCAAGCACATGATAAGCGCCACGCTGGGTGTTAGGAATTTAAAGGTGTGCGACCATTTATCGTCAAACACCTAAAGGGACACAAAGATTGGACCATCCGTCAGACCCTGAGTCTGCCGGCCAACCGAGGATTAGGCGGGTGAAAGCAGAGCGCGCTCCAGGCTGGGGAGCAGCACGCATGAAGGTGCACGCGCAGGAAGATGCCAGCTGTCAGGTCGGTGGGCCCAGGGTAGGAAAAGGTGAATGAATGTTAAGAGCTGAGGCTGGACCTGGTGTCAGGGGATCAGGTCAGAACTGGGTGTGCCAGTCTGGACTTGAGCTTCCATAGTCACGGAAGATTTTCCAGCAGAAGAACATAATCACATTTGGGTTTTAAAAAAAAAAGTCTTAACCACCGCCCCGCACCCCCAGGACAATTCTGAACAAAATACAAAAGTAGACTGAATGAACCTCAACGTACCCATCACCCAGGAAAACTCCAGCAGCTGTGGCCAATCCTGACCACCACCTCCCATTCACTCCCCTATTCTGTATTCTTTTCTTTAAAAATATTTTTATTTTATTTATGCATACAAGAACTGGTGTACAGGCCAGAGGTGTGTGAGGTGAGAAGATTCACCAGAGACAGAGTGGGGAGCAAAATAGGTGCATCTACTAAAATCCACTGCTGAGGGGAGCAGCAGGCAAGACAGGAGAGGTCTGCTGCGCCATGTGGGGCAGCTCCCTGGATGGGGATGGAACTCATGCTGCAGTGCCTGGCAATCGTTAGCTTGACAGCACTGAGACTTTAACCCCTGGACCACCTGGGAGGCCCCCTATTCTGTGTTACTTGGAAGAAAATATCATGTTCCCAGTTATTGTATCATTCCCATGAATACAACTAATATATATTTATATATTTACATATTTTATATACACATTTATATACACTAATACTTGTAACGATTACTTAATATCAACTAACCAGACAGTGTTCAATTTTTCAACTGTCTCATAAATGTCATAATTGGCTTTTTGCTTGTTTTTTCTTTTAGACATGTCATCCTGGCAACAGTTGTAAAGGAAAGAATACCCTGAAAGTAAAGAGAACAGTTAGGAGCTTGCTTTGTTACCCAATAAGAAATGACAAGGTTGGACCTGGTCTCTGTCAGTGGCACGGGGAGGCTACCACGAAAAAGAGGCAGGACCACGAAACCCACAAAATGATTAAAAACTCTGACAAAATGTTCACCGAATCTGGTCATCTGATGGGCTTTTATAAGAATTTCCTCAATGCACTGGTGGGAAAGAGATTTGCAACAGGCAGACAGGTAAGTGGCAGGCAGCTGAGTATCCCTAACCCTAAAGCAAGGGGCAGAGAGGTTCCAGTCTGCATCTTGATTCATTCCGTCAACAAGTGAAGAGTGATGTGCTCTGACTTAAGGTCACTAGGCAGTGGAGATACTGGTAAAAAAAAAAAAAAAAAGACAAAGCATCTACCGCACAGAACTAACATGTTAGGGAAGCAACAGACACATCCACCTATCTGTTCACTCAGTCAGTATTTACTGTATATCCGGTGTGGTGGGCACCAACCAGGTGCTGGAAGTCCACACCTGGGAATAAGAGTAAACAGCACTCAACCTCCAAGTGCTGAGTGATCATCTCAGAAGTACTGAGAAAAATCAAAGAGAACTAGGGTGTCTCTGGTGGCACAGAGGTTTAAGTCTCAGCGCTATCAAGCCGTTCAGCCACTGCAGCATGAGTTTGATCCCTGGCCGGGGAGCTGACCCACTGGGAGCTAACCCCAGCAGACCTCTCCTGACCCGCTCACTGCTCCCCTCACCGCACCTCTGGCCTACACCCCAGTACTTCTATGCAAAAATAAATCTTTAAAATAAGAAGAAAAGGACAGGGTTGAGTAGACTGAGTGCTACTTTACACAGGCTTGTCAGCAGAGGTCTATCTGAAATGATATTTGAGCAAAGACCTGAATGAAGAAAGAGAACAGCAAACAGAGATGCAAGCAAAGAATAGTCCAGGCTGAGAGGATTCTAATTGCAAAGACCACGAGGTGGGAATATGACTTGTTCAGGAAACAGTAAAGTCAGCGTGGCTAGCTGGAGAATGGTAGATGAACCAGTGCACGTGACAGGACTCTGCCGGTAAGGTTCTGAACTGACTTATTCTTAGTATGCTGAAGAGAGGTTCTGGACAGGTAAGCGAGAGAATCTGATTTATACTTTTGTAAGTATGAATAGGTACTTTGTAGAAAGCTGGGGGGGGGGGGGGGAGAGAAAGGAAGCAGGGGACCCAGAGGGCTGCTGCCAGTCTCTATGACACAGGACTGTCACCGGGCACCCTGCAGTAAAGGGAGCCCCAACCCCAGTGCTACCTAAGGCCTTTCCCTCTGCTGATGTCTCAGAGCCTTCCAAAGGCTCGCCCACCGGACAGCTTGCCCACAATCACCTGCTCAGCCTCAACAGTCACGTCAAAGCACTTAACAGAGACACTCAAGTATTTATACAATCAGCTTAGAATTCTCCACACACTTCCAGCTTCATGTCACACCACAAGCCCTCAGGTCTCTTAGCTCAAATTCCTCAGATGTCTTCTTTGCATACAGGCATCAGATCCCGCTGTCTGCCTGACAGCAACTACATGTCCCAAACACACCTCAACCTCAACACGTCAGAAGATGAGCTCATGATCAGGGTCCTGCACCCCACTCACAAAAGTGATTCTCTTCCAGGGCCCTAGCTCGGGGAAGTGTCATCATTCATCCTGTTTTGCCTCAGGGCCTTAGTGCTTCCCCCCCAAGCCCCCCCCCAGTCCTGCCCCAGCCCAGGCAATGGTCCACCCTACATTCCTCTTCAGTTTTGCCCTTTCGGCCTCTCTCTGTCCCTCCCCCTCCCTGACCCCCGTTTCTCTCTCCACCCCCCTTCAAGTTTCAACTACTCCAGCCAGGAGTAGGCAATACCCTAACTGGTCTGCTCTAATCCCCTATGCCACCCCCTGGAGAGGAACTTCTTAAATGCAAACCGAGCTTAAGCTCTTCAGCTAAAAAGCTTTGATTTTTGAATAAGGACGGAGCCTCTTGCAGCTTCTTCTCACACCACACTCCCTTTCAGGTCTCTTAGCTCAACTTCCACCCCCATCCACTCTTCCGCCTTCTACTCACCAGGCTTCCTCCAGCCAAACGGCCTTTGCCAACCGCATGCCTCTGGCTTTGAAGGGCTCCAGCTCCCTTCTCGGATAAAGACATCAGATCTCAGGCTAAGCTTCAAGTCATGAGAAAAGCCTTTCTGACGCGCCCAAGGCCAGACCTCCTTAGTGCAGAGATGCAAAGCTGTCAGAGACCCAATTTATCACCTCACAGCAAGAACCCTCCCGGTGGCTTTATCTGATTCCACGAAAGCCATCGCGTTTCCCTCCTCCGATCCGACCAGCTCTGCCCCGGTACCCAGCCAGAGCCCGGCACATAGTAGGTGCCCAATAAAGCGTGTTTCGTTACAAAGCTCTTTCGTCTATAGGATCGGCCGGGAAGGGGGTTTGGGGGCCGCGTGGCACCAGGCAGAACAGGGCTTCATGCCCTAGAGCCTCTCCAGAGGAAGGGCTGAAGGTGGCGTGTGTGGTATTTTTAGGGTGTGTGGGGGGGGTGCCTGACCTAAGCCACATGCTGCCCGCAAGGAGCCCTGCGTCTGGGACTGGGGCCCCCGACGATCGGCAGTTGGAAGCAAACGAGTACAGTCCCTGCTCAGTAAGGAAACCGGCCGAGCTGACTGTGAAAGTGAGCAGACCCGTCTGGGGGGAGGAGGCGCGCCGGGGCGCGGGGCGCCGGGCG